ATATCCGACACGGGTTTCCAATCACGGATACCTTCATTGTCTCGTGACTCCGTTCCTTATTTTTCTTGTTGACCGATTTCACTCGGTTCCAGTCCCTGTGTGAATTTCACTCCAGGCGCTATTTCTCAAGGCCCCAGAAGCACGCACACTGCCGCCTCACTGAGCAGAGCGCATAAGTTCTGATTGCCATACTTGCAGATATTAGGCCTTCCCTTCACGGGTCCTCTAACTTGATTAAGCCCATATTATCTGAGCAAACTGTGGACGACTAACCCTAATCCTGATCGCATGCGGCATCTCAATTGGATCTCTAGTGAATTTTGTCCATGACGCCAAATTTCCCTGACGGTTTGCTTATCCGTCTACCCAGCTCCCTGACTGCCAGGCCCATAAAGTGTACTGGTTAATTAGAAATGGGCATCACTCACTGACAACGTCTTCGCTTTATTGCCGAAAACCCCTTCCACCCATTTTCTTCAGCGCGATCCCTTTTCCTCCTGTTAGTGGTAGATTCTTGATACAGGCGTCTCCTTTTCGCTGGTCTTGCTCCATTCTTGTTTTCCCCGAGTTTGCTTAAGTAGTAGGCAAAGTTATCGCTAACTTTACCTTCGTCCAATCTCCTGCTCATTAAAGTGTTCTCCCCAAGGATGTCAACGGCCTCCCTAATGTTGCGCTTCCATGTGTTGTCACCGTATAGGACCCTTCTTTCTGTTGCCTTCCAATTGATCTCGTGTCCAGTCTGTGCGATGCGTTCCGCTACTTATGATATTTCGGTATCCATTTTCCTACAGAGCCTCTAATGTTCCTTGATTCGTGTGCTAATTTTTCTCCCTGTTTCGCTAATATATTTCTAATCGCAGGCGCCGCATGATATACAGTAAACTCCTGAAAAAATCAATTTGTCTACTCTTTCATGTTGGGCTGATAAACTTGTGAAAAGTGTTGATTTCTCTTTCATGGCCACCTGAATATTCCATTTCCTCAATATTGGCCGTAGTCTTTGAGTTAGTTTGCAGGAAGGTAGGCATATCCACTTTTGTGAATTCTTCATCACCCTTTCTGTCCTTTCATAGTCCCCGTTCCGCCATCAGCTTTTCACGGCCCGTATGTTTCTTTGTATTACTTCACTAGGGTAGCCATTGTCGAGGAATATCCCGGTCAATTTGTTCAGCTCCTCGCCCCAGAATTCTACATCCGTTAAGCGTAGGCTTCGGATGATATTGCTCCTCATTATTCCAATCTTCAGTCTGTAATTGTGATGGGACCGGAAATTGAGTATTATCCCAGCGTAGGACTTCTTTCTGACCAATTTCTTTTTAAGCGTTCCATTAAAACGAATCACTTCAACGTCCAGGAACGGTAACCGCTCACCTTCCTCTACTTCCATCGTGAATTGAATTTTTTTCATCAATTTGATTTGCAAACTTCAGAAACTCTTCCAGTTTTTCTCTTCCATGTGACCAAAGTGCGAAGTAATCATCCAAGTACCGAATGAGCACTGCCGGTTGTAGCAGTGTCATCTTGAAGCTCTCTTCTAATTTGTTCATGTATGCATTGGCCGAAAGTGGTGAGAGCGGCGATCCCATAAGAAGTCCAAATATCTGTTCATATATGTTCCCGTTGAATGTAAAATTGGTTGTCTTTACTGTCAAGTTGATTAGTCTTGTTAAGGACTTCCTACCGATCCGTTGTGATTCTAGAATATCATCCTCTCGGTCCAGGATTTCCAGCAGGGACGTCAGCGCATTTTATCTACCCCGACCCCTCTCTTTCTATCGGCTTATCCGACTCGGGCCTCCAATCTCGGATACCTTCATTGTCTTGTGGATCCATTCCTTACCTTTCTGGTTGATTGATTTCATTCGGTTCTAGTCCCTGTGTGAATTTCACTCCAGGCGCTATTTCTCAAGGCCCCACATACACGCACACTGCCGCCTCACTGAGCAGAGCGCTTAAGTTCTGATTGCCATGCTTGCAGATATCAGGCTTTCCCTTCACGGATCCTCTACCTTGATTAGACCCACAAAGGGGCACACATTTTTGATGATTGGAATGTAAACAAGTGAGAAGTTGTTGTAGGGCGGCAAGGGGATAAGAGGGTAAAAAGTAGATAGATCATCCGAAGCCTAAGCTTAATGGATGTAGAAATATACGGGCCGTGCAAAGTCGATGGAGGAACGAAGACTATGCAAGGAGAGAAAGGACGATGAAGGATTCACAAAAATGGATATGCCTACCTTCCTGCGAACGAACTCAAAAACTACGGCCAATGTTGAGTAAATGAAATATCCAGGTTTTCATGAAGGAAAAATCAACACTTTCCACCAGTTTATCAGCCCAACATGAAAGAGAAGACAAATTGATTTTTTCAGGAGTTTACTGTATATCATGCGGCGCCTGCGATTAGAAATATATTAGCGAAACAGGGAGAAAAAGTAGCATACGAATCAAGGAACATCAGAGGCTCTGCAGGAAAATGGATACCGAAAGATGATAAGTAGTGGAACACATCGCACAGACTGGACACGAGATCAATTGAAAGTCAACAGAAAGAAGGGTCCTATACGGTGACAACACAAGGAAGCACAAGATTAGGGAGACCGTTGACATCCTTGGGGAGAACAATTTAATGAGCAGGAGATTGGACGAAGGTAGAGTTAGCGATAACTTTGCCTACTGCCTAAGCAAACTCAGGGAAAACAAGAATGGAGCAAGACCAGCGAAAAGGAGACGCCTGTATCAAGAAGCTACCACTAACAGGAGGAAAAGGGATCGCGCTGAAGAAAATGGGGCGAAGGGGTTTTCGACAATAAAGCGAAGACGTTGTCAGTAAGTGATACCCATTTCTAATAAACCAGTACACTTTATGGGCCTGGCAGTCAGGGAGCTGGGAAGACGGATAAGCAAACCGTCAGGGAACTTTGGCGTCATGGCCAAAATGCACTAGAGATCCAATTGAGATGCCGCATGTGATCAGGATTACGGTTAGGCGTCCACAGTTTGCTCAGATAATATGGGTTTAATCAAGGTCCCGTGAAGGTAAGGCCTAATATCTGCAAGTATGGCAATCAGAACCTATGCGCTCTGCTCAGTGAGGCGGCAGTATGCGTGCTTCTAGGGCCTTGAGAAATAGCGCCTGGAGTGAAATTCACACAGGGATTGGAACCGAGTGAAATCGGTCAATCAGAAAAATAAGGAACGGATCCACGAGACAATGAAGGTATCCGAGATTGGAGGCCCGAGTCGGATAAGCCGATAGAAAGAGAGGGCTCGGGGTAGATAGCAAGTGCGATGGGGCCACACTAAAATTGCCACAAAAGGGCACATTTTGACGAGTGGAATTTAAACAAGTGAGAAGTTGTTATAAGGCGGCAATGGGATAAGAGGGTAAAGAGTAGATATATAGGCCAGGACATAAAGAAGATTGATAGTGTAACCGTTTCCGCAGAATATTCGTAGAGATTGGCTTCACTTGTCTCTGACGAGTTCGTAGCTTGGTGAGGAAATGGCAAAACTCAATGATGATGCCGACTACGATGCCGGCGAAACGTTTGAGAATGTACCAAGTCCACTGTCTGATGCTGGGAATTAAAACTAATATGCCAGACGACTACGGACTAGGTGCGTTCTATTTAGTCTCCCTGAAAACAAGACCAAGTTGCGACAACTAGGTCAACCCACTTCTACAAAGAAGTCGAAGTTTAAGTCTTATTATATAATATAATTTCCGAGGCAAACCAAATTAAAAGAATGCATTTTTGTCTGCCTTTAAAATACACTACGAGCATTACAGGAAGGTCTTTCTATCTATTGGAAGTGCCGATAATCAAATACAAAATAGAAATTCATATTTGTGAGACTGGAGGATTGAATAAAGAAATGCAAGCCCGATGTAAACTAAGTAATGGCTGGCTTAGTGAGGGCTGCAGCCAATATCATGGGGGTAGGTGAAGATCTCTGAGCTTGAAAAACATTCTAGATGTCCACTCAGTTTGATTATGTCTACAAAAGGTGCTCTTCCACCATAATATTACCATTCTTCTCATTTATACCCAACAATCCTTCAAGGGTACACTCTTCAGCAGAATTCTAAGCTTACTTGTATCATATGAGATATGATAAATGCCATTGCTGAATGCAGATGGCTTAAGTAAGCTTCTCCTCACTTGGGTTTTAAATGGTGCAATTCAAGTGTGTTACGAAAAGAATATGAATATATACGAGTATGTTAATATAAAAAAATGAAATTAGATTATAAGAAGTAAAAGAATTTTAGTTTTTCAAACGTTAGCTCATTATGAAGAATTTTAGCTGAATAACTATGGTGGCTACTCACATTGATTAGTGATTAATTATATAGGGAATCCTATATGGTGAGGCAGTCTGCCTACAGTAAACATAATACGGCTATTAAATTGTGTTTCAATTGTCATGAAAATATTAAGGTCTTCAGATAATGATCTAATAGAGATCGGATATCCAATATAAAGCTTAAAGATAATATCCTTAAAAATTAGTTATGTGGGACCATCAGAGAATTAAAGAACTCAGATAAATAAAGGAAAATATTAAGTAAAATGTATTTCATATGCATAGAATAAACTAACTTGCTTAATGGAATAAGATTATTGCGTGAAAAAGAAGCGGTATATTAATTGCTGCCTTCTTAGCAAGCATGCGTTATCACACAAAACATAAGAAAAGTAGACAATGAACTAGCCCATTAGACAAATCTGTTTGGTCATAGCAACTCAAGGTAAGCATATGTATCGAAACTTTACTGATGAAATGCAGAAAATAAATGAGAATTG